TATTTTTTTTTTTTTTTTTGTAGTTGTCATTGTTGTTTAGCAGGCCTGGGCTGAGTTTGAACTCGCCAGCCCCAGGATATGTGGCCAGTATCCTGACCACTGAGCTATGGGTGCTGAGACTACTTCATATATTTTGAATCTCTAATATTAGAGGCATACACATTCACGATATGTCTTTCTGACTAATTGATTCTTTTATCATTATGAAAGGCCTCTTTGTTTTGACATATACTTTGACTGATACTAATGTAGCCATACCAACTTTTTTAGGATTGTTGTTTGGATGATATGTCTTTTTCCATCAACATATTTGTACATTTATATTTAAATTGTATCCTTTATGGACAGCATGTGGTTCAGTCTTGCTTTTTAAGTTTAATCTGACAGTTTGTCCTTTAATTGAACTGTATAGTTCATTAGCATTTTATGTAGCTGTTCGTAATGGTTAAATTAAATTTTATAAATTGGTATGTATTTTCTATTTTAGATATGTGTTCTTTGTTCCTGTTACTCCTTTCTTGTTTTCTTTTTGTTTAACTAAATACTTTTAACATTCTTTTTTATTTTTTCTATTTTATATAAGTCTTTCAAAAATTAACATTGCAATGTTTCATTAAAAATATAAGAAATTTACAAAAGTATCATTCTTTTTGCTTTATTCTTTGTCCTATGTTGTCATACAGTTTACTTCTATGAACTTTATAAACTTCACACCACAATGTTACTATTTTGCTTTAGACAGTTGGCTTTTAAAGACATAAAGGGAAAAAATGATAGTCCTTTTAATATGTCCATATAGTTAGCGATTTTTATGCTCTTCATTTCTTCTTATAAATCTTTTATTTTATTTTATTTTCAGTTTGGAGAATTGCTTTAGCATTTCTTACATTGCAGGTCTGCTGACAACAAATCCTTTCAACTTTCATTTATTCATGCATATCTTTATTCTCCTTTTTCAGTTCTCAGTACAGGACTGAGCCTTGCCTTTTTCCTGTCACTACAGGTGCAAAGAAGCGGAGCCCACACAGCCCTGGATTATTTTGTTCAACAATTTCTTTCTTCCTTCTTCCCTCCACCATCATCCATCTTCCCATCTCTCTCTTCTTTTTTCTATCACACACAATAAATGAGTGCCTACTCTATGCTGGGGATGGTTCTAGAAAGAAAGACACAGATGCAGATTCAATAAATAAATATACACTATAATGTTTTTAGAGTTTTAAAAATTGGTGTATAATTTTCATATTAAAAATGCACAAATATTAAGTGTAAGCTCAACAAATAACTTGGTTTTATTTGTTTTTGTTTTTTTGAGACAGGGTCTTGCTTTCTTGCCCAAACTCAAGTTCTGTGGTATGATCACATCTTATTGCAGTCTCCAACTCCTGGGTGCAAGGGATTTTCCTCCCTCAGGCTCTTAAAATAGCAGGACCACAGGTTCATGCCATGGTTTTGCTAAATTAACAGGGTAGAGACAGGGGTGTAGAGACCTCTCTTTTTTTTTGTAGAGACAGGTTGTTGTCATGTTGCTCAGGTCAACTTGAATGAGCTTAAGTTCAAGCTCAAATAATAACTTACCAGTTTTTATAAGTACTAGGAAGCTATCTAGGAATTTTACCAATGAGGGTAAAATCCCTAACAAATATTAATAAATAGGCTTTGGCTTGAAATTGTCAGTTTAACATAATTACTTACATATTTGTGATTTCCTGATTTGGAGAAGGTTTAACAAATCATGGCCTGTGGGATGAGGAGCTAATAATGGTCTTTATATTTTCGAAGGCTCTTTAAGACAAAACAGAAGAAGAAAAAAAGGAGAAGAAAAAGGAGAGAGAGAGAGAGAGAGAGAGAGAGACACTATCTGTGGAATTAAAAGCTTAAAACATATACTATCTGATTTCTTAAGGGAAAAAGTTTTCTGCCCTTGGGGCTGCAAAGAAAAAGCTTGAAGCCAAGGACAATGGTTCCTTTTTCTTGCTTTCTAGTTTAATAAGCCAGATGTGTCAACAGCTTCTTCTTGACTAGCGTCAAGATGTTACTCAATCAGAAAAGAGTTTAATTTTTTACTAACATATGTCAGCCTCACCTAGTGAAATTAAATACAAGAAATAGTTTGCTGAAACTATGCCAGAACCACTAAGTCAGGCCAATCCAAGGTTGCTGACTTTAATTTTTATATGAACTGGATATTTTAGAAATGTAGGTAGTGATGGCTATGTTGAACTGTTTCTTTGGCTCTGGGTATATGTTTCAAAGACTTTTGCATAGGTATTGTCATCAGGTACTTGCTGAGACCTTGGGAACAGATGTGGGGAGGGGAGAAAGCAGGGAATGTGATTGTGGGATTGAGATTTAGCAATTTCCAATCATATTGTCTATTCTTCTTTCTCTCTCCAAAAAATCCACATGCCTTTCCCTCAAGTCAATTCCACCTTGGAATGTGCTTCAGCACTCAAGATCCTACTGTCCAGAGCAGAATTCTGCTTTAAATCAGACCAGTTGGTCTAGAATTTGGGCTGATAATTGGGTGGGAGGCAGGCAGCATGGGAGTTTCTAGGTAGTTCTTTGTTTTTCTTTTTTCCTATGGATAACTTCATGAATTTGCATGTCATCATTGCTTAGGGGCCATGCTAATCTTCTCTGTACTGTTCTACTGTTAGTGTATGTGCTGCTATATGATGCGAGCATTCTAGGTAGCTTTGATGTTAGATTTGTTGCTGTGGTTAGGGCTGGTCTGTGTGCTCGAGTAGACTCTGGTTATTAGCATAGGGAGTGGTCTAGAAATAACTAGGAGAGTATTTGAGCCATAATAAATTGGGGGAAACTTAGGAGACAGCTTGTCCTGGAAAGGGAGTGACAGTGTAATTCAGGAAATTTGGACAACAGCCAAGGTATACAAACTGAACAAAGATGGCTGGAGTCAGAGACAGGTTGCCATTTGTTGGGCTCAAGGCTCAGCTGGGGCACACTGCACGCCAGGCTGGGGCAGGAAGATTAACTATAGACTCTGGCTATTTACCATAAGCCTTCACTTGGCTGTTGGGACTGAGCTTGCTAATTGGAGGTGGATTGGCAAGAGCCAAGTTTAGCTGTGTTGATAAGGACAAGAGCAAGTTATTGTTGTTATCATTATTAAGAAAAGCATTTCACTATAATTTCCATTTATTGAGCAACACTTTATAGACAATATCCCTTTTCCTTTCCACAGGCATTATTATATTTAACTACATTTAACTCACTGGAGTTAAATGACTAACTCAGACTAGTAAGAGATAGACCCAAGCACTGGCTCCAGGTCACTCTGAATACGAAGTATAAAAAAACTGCACAATTTTATATCCAATGCTCCTTCCATAGGGGCATTCAACAAATGATAGGACAACAAAAGTTATTCATTGTACATCCTAGGATATACAAGGGCTGTCCAGGAAGTATCCAACTACACACTATGAAAAATAGTATTACCAATGGCTGGATACTTTCCAAACAGCCCTCAAAAATACCTATCCCTGCATAAATTTGGTCTAGCTAGGGACTTTGAATACAAAACAAATCTAGCCTCACAATCCTCTGAAGTGTTAGAATAATATTATTATTTGGCCAATTTTAACTGAGCATCAATTTGTGTCAGGCACCATACTGGGATGGTACTGGACGTGCGGTAGCAAATGAAGTAGCTGTCCTCTTGGGGCTTCCAGCCGAGAGTGTTAGATAGACAGACAGAGACAGAGGCAGAGGCCAGAGCTGCTGCTAAACTCCCTACCTCACAGGGGATGGCCCCTATGACAGAGAATTTTTAGGCCCCAAAAGGCAAGGGTGCCCAGAGTGAGAAATGGAATTTGGGAGGATCAGCATCTGGGATGCCCCTGGCCTCCTCTCCTGCCAGGTGGGCTGGCATTTGTCCTGAACAGGTGGGAAGAATGGCAGTGTGGCTGGGGCCTGGTCAGTGAGGAGGGCAACGTAGGCCATCGTAATGAGGATTTGGATTGTGCTGCAAATCCTCACTGAGTTTCCTCATTCACCCATTTCACATTTAGTGATATAATCCAGTTCCGATTGTCCAGGAATTTCCAGACCCTTTAACTCCACGTAAGAGGAAGTCTTGGGAGGAGCATTGCAATAACACTTTCCTCGCCTGTTTTTAGATTGCATAGCAGAAAAGCACTTAGTAATATAGTTTTAAGTGAAAATTAGCCAGCTTAATACTAACTTCTTTGTATTTTTAATATTTTCAATCAAACACTACCCTTAATCTGTTACTTTGATCTCCCTCACATGTGCCACCAGTACCATGCTGGGTTGACAGTGTACCCCGTAGACAGAGTCAGACTGAGTCATTTTTTAATGGCCATATGACTAATTACTTAATAATTAATTACCTAAATTTGCTTACTTAATTATATAATTTAATAATTAATTGGTTAGTATGTTATAACACACATAACACAGCTTTATGGAAATTCTCTTAAGTTTTTTTAGGACCACAAAAGTGAAGGGAAAAAAAAATTTTTTATTGCCAGAATTGGTTTTGGGTGACATTAAATAACCTTTCAAATATGAGTATTTTCATCTTTAAAAATAGCACTTAATTAATAGAATAGTTTCTTGGGATTTTTTTGGTATTGTTGCAATTCAAAACCAAGTTTGAAGATCCTGATTACTTCATGGAGAGGATTAAAAAGCATAAAATGTAAAGAAAAAAGACATAACCTATGATGTGATTTGCATGTATGTCCCCGCCAAATCCCCTGTTGAAATCTGATCCTTGGTGTGGAATGTGGGGCCTGGTGGGAGGTGTTGTTCACGGGGTGGGGGGGGTGGTGGGGGTGGTGGTGCAGAGCCCTCATGAATGGCCTGGTGCCCTCTCCATGATAATGAGTGGTTCTGGCTTATTAGTTCACAGGCGAGCTGGTTGTTTAGAGGAGGCTGATACTGCTTCCTTGCTCTTTGCTCCTTTTCCTGCCATGTGACATACCTGCTCTCCCAGTGTCTTCTGCTTTGACTGGAAGCTCCCTGGATCCCTCACCAGAAGCAGATGCTGGCGTGATGCTTCCTGTGCAATCTGCAGAACCAAGCCTAATACACCTCTTTATAAATTATCTAGGCTCTAGCATTCCTTTATAATGGCGCAAGACAGACTAATGCAGAGTCTTTTGTTCTGCCAATGTCGCATTCATAAATTTGTCCCCAAAGAAGCAATTAAAATAAATATGTGGATATGAAGGCTCTGTCAGTATGTAGCTATGACTGAGCAAGAATTCCACAGAAGTACCGATTTATGTGTTCATTCTTTCATCTGCTTTGACCCAGGACTGCACCCAAGTAGATGATTCTCACCTGGGTTGCATTTTAAGGAAACTTTTGGACTAATCTTTCTTACTTTGCTGGGAACTCTCTATGCTAGGAGCTATTTCTTTCCTTTTTCTTTGTCAATGACTTTAGCTCATTTGCCTGGCCTGTTAGTGGGCATCCAATACTGGGATATGTGTGCATAAATGAATGAATGGATGGGGGAACAGAATATTTGATGTTGAATTCTTCTATCCGTTATTTAACTTGTTCATTGATTTGAAGAACAAAGCGTGATGGCCTCGTTCATGAGCTCTAAAATCTGCCCGTGTTTTAACTGGCTGACACAGTTCTTCCAGTGACTTCATGTCCTGTGGAGTTCACTCAGCCTCTGTTCTTTCTAAATCTGAGTATAGTCTTTAGGACTGAAAATGAGTATTACTGAAGATTTTTTTTTAATTGTGTTTTCTGTGTTCTTTGCATACATAATTTCTTATGGTTTTAGGTTTTGGAAAATGGAACTAGTTATTTATTAGTTAAATCAAATCCTAAAATTAATGCCATAGTATTCACCTAGATACATTCTAAGTTTAAATGCTGCCCCATGAATTTAGGTAAAATTTTTAGTTCTTTTTTTTTTGTTTTGAGACAGAGTCACAAGCTATCACCCTGGCTTAAACGATTCTCTTGCCTTAGCCTCTCAAGTAGCTGGAACTACAGGTGCTCGCCATAATGCTCAGCTATTTTTTTTGTTGTTATTGTAGTTGTCGTTGTTTGGTGGGCCTGGGCTGGTTTCAAACCTGCCAGCTCCTGTGTATGTGGCTGGCTTCCTAACTGTTTGAACTATAGTCACTGAGCCAAAATTTTTAGTTCTTATTTTACATGTTAGGATTACTCAAATGCTTTGATGTGTATATATGCACACACACATATAGGGTGTATATATATATGCATATATATACATATATGTAAATATATCATGTGTGATACATACAGGGTGTCCATAAAGTTCATGTATAATTTAAAAATAGCTTAACGTAGTAAATTGAACATGAACTTTATGACCACCCTGTATCTATATACATGTTTTTTCCTAAGCTAGTGGTTCACTCCAGAGTAAGATTCTGTTACTATCTAGCCTGTAGCTTTGCCCTTTCCCTCACATTTGACAAATGGGCTGGTTTCCATCCTCTTATTTAGATCCTTCTCTCTTAAGCTTGATTGTTGGAACTATAACAGATGTTTTTAAACACTGTAAATATAGGAATGTAAATGTAGTGTTGCCAATACGAGGACAGCGTCCAGACCTAACATTGATCCTATAGCAGATCCTATCTTCTGTTTGAAAAATATAACCAAGGGCAAAATATGGTTCATGGGAATCTACTGTGTCAAAGAAGAAAAAGGAGACAGTGAAGTTACTACATAAACCATTACCATCTGCTAATATTTAAAAGTTTATTGAGAAGAAATGATGCCTACTTCCATAGGGCAGAGGTTCTGGTAGCTAGACAAAGAAGCAGAAAAGCCAGGCGGTGCCTGTGGCTCAGTTGGTAGGGCGCCAGCTCCATGTATTGATGGTGGTGGGTTCAAACCCGGTCCTGGTCAGCTAAAACAGCAGTGGCAACTGCAACAAAAAATAGCCAGACGTTGTAGTGGGCACCTATAGTCCCAGCTACTTGGGAGGCTGAGGCAAGAGAATTGCTTAAGTCCAAGAGTTTGAGGTTGCTCTGAGCTATGATGCCACAGCACTCTACTGAGGGTGACAGAGTGAGACTCTGTCTCAAAAAAAAAAAAAAAAAAGCAAAAAAAAATCAGAAGAGCCAGGAGCTAAGGGATGGGGAATGCGTGAGAGGAAGAATATAGGAAATAGAAAAAATGAAGCCTCTTCTTTCTTTTTGGAGCATGAGGGATTAAGTTATGGGGAGGTGTGGAGGCACATCTGTCATTCCTTTGTGGGCTTATCAGTGCTTGGCATCTGTTCATTCATTCTTTCATTCATTCATTCTGTTTTCAGCACACGTTCATTGAGCGCTCACCACCAGGCAGGCAATATAGAACAAGGTGCTCGGGATATATCTGTGAATAAAACACAGATGCCTGCCTTGTGGGAGTTACATGTGTGCAAGGGTAGGATACAATGCACACAATAAATAACTATATAGGCGGTCAGAAGGCCCTAGGTGTTATGGAAAAAAAGACAAATTAGAGCAGGGGATCAGGAGTGAGAGGTTAGGTATATGGTCAGAATATGACATTAACTAGGGTGGCCGGGGTTTTCTTGAGAAGGAGGAACTGGAGAAGAACTTGAAGGAGGTAAGGAATTCAGCCAGCTGAATATTTGAAGAAAGAACATTCCAGGTAGTGGGAACAGCCAGTGAACAGGCCTTCTGCAGGGT